TTTTTTTCTATTTGTGAAAATTTCTACGTAATTCAAAGGTAATTTTTATTATATATCTTACACAGCATTATTAATATGATTTTGGATGATACAGAACTTTAAAATTACTTTAAAAAAATGAAAATAATTATATCATTTAATTTCAAGATATTTTGTATACCTTAAAAATAATTGATTCTATCCCGGGATTTCCCGGGATCCCGGGAAACAGTTCACTTTTATCCCGGAATACCGGGACAAGCAAAAGACCGGGGAATGACAAACCCTAATCAACATCAATATCATCATTTAAACTATAATTCACGACTACAACGCACTTATCGTATAGTAAATTATATCACAAGCAAGCGCACAGTACACACTGCTCATGTCGAACGGTTAATTAATTAGATTGAACGATGATTGAAATTAACAAATAATTTTACAGATATAAGAGTTGTGTTAATGTCATTATTTTCCATTGATGTCTTTTAGAACAGCTTATTATCGGATTGGCCAAAACAAAACTGGTAATATTTGTACAGTAAAAAAAGAAACTTTAGAATAAGGTATGCAGCGCAATGCCAGACTGGGCAACAAATCGCAATAACTTACTGTTTTATAAATATTAAAACTTTTAAGCCATAATTTGTATTTTTAATTCATGCAATGAATATTGGCTATTTTTGAATATAATTATGATACAGTCGAAAAGCTAGACGGTTTTAAAATTGGAACAGTATATTAAAAATCGGGACTGTACTGTGTAATTTACCATGTAATTTGCAAATATAAGATATCTTTTACTACCGTGAGATCGGTTTTTAAGTTTAATCTAGATTTTTCACATCTTTTTAAGAGTAATCGGATGTGGTTTCCACGTCCTCATTCATGTTAGGCTAATTTCATTTTGTTAAAGTTTGATAGAAATCGAACCCATATTGTGTAGCCGCAATGTGCTTTTTTCATTCAAAAGAATCTAATTAAATTAATATTGATTTTTATGTTTATAAAAATATTTAAATGCAGTTATTTTTTTCTAAATTTGTTTAGTTAAATTAGAAAGTATATTCTGTATTATTAGAATTTTTAACCACTTATGATATTAATTATAAAAAATATTTTTATCAGATGAGAAATTTTTAACGTATAAAATTAAAATAATTCAAAATTATTATGTGCAGATAATTAATTTATACATATATATTTAACATTAAAAAAAAATTTTCACTTTTGAAATTAACAAATAAACAAGATAATAAACAAATTTCCAAAATGGCTGCCGTCAGGGACGGAGGCGGAGTTGCGACGAAATGACATTGAATGATCTCTTGGTTAAATTTCATTAAAGTTTTTTAATTATGGAATCTCTTGGTATTCTAAGGAAGTATCACATCGTAATGTATTTTAAAAGAAATTAGAAAGAGACATGCCTCTCTTCAAAAGAAAATCAGGTTTGTTTTTGTTTTTAGGCTTAATATATGAAGAAAAATAGAACAATATATTTCATTTAAAAATTGATGTCACAGTACGTAACATAATTAAACAAGAAAACTTTTTCTACTCAATATAATACGACGTATAATTTACATGCAATGAAACTAGAAAATTTTCCCACGAAAGTTCTCACGCTGACAAAAAATTACAAATGAAGGTTGATATTTTTATTAAAATGACATTAAATTAATTATTTTGTCTTAAGAAATTTTAATAAGATTGAGAAAATTTTCAAGCACTCCTTATATATTTTTTTAAAATTTGACAAATAATTGACTTGATAGATCAGTCACTTTATATACCTGTATATGTATAATACTCATAAGCAGCAATACATTTATTTTGTACATTATTATTAAAATTTTAAAAACTGCTAATAATAATTTACTGTTCATACTAAATCAAGATTTGTAAAGAGCTTTAAAATAAATTTACAAAAATTGCAATTTATTTCTGATCTAAGATAGACAATTTGATTATGTACAGATAACGATTTATTTCAGAGTAAAAACAATTTACGTATCTTTTAAATAAAATCATTACAAGTGGAAAATTTCAAAAATTTTTTGTTTCTAATATAATGATTACTCATGAAATGTTTTAATAATGATAGCTTATAAATATTTTCATGTTTTTGTTGTTTATATTTTAAAAAAGTTTATGGATATGACATATAGTAGAACAATTTCATATTTTTGAAAACAAAAAATAATAAATATCTATTGAATTGCTTCAATATATTATTATTTATAAGATTTTCTTATTGATTTCATAATTTATTAAACTCGTTGAAACAAATTGCATATTCAATACGTATGATTGGATAAAGTATATAGCAGTTAATTATTACACGTGCTTTATAAATTGTATTTATATTAAAAAATAATAAAGTAAAAAGGCATATTTTATGGTTTATCAAATCAAAAAACTTAAAAAATTTGTAATTATTTTTTTTATATAAACAAAGTTATTAAATTTAAATGTCTAAATTAACTGTGATTAAATTTACATAAAGCATTTAAATTTTGCTATTTTTATACATTTTAAATATACTAAAAGCATTTTTGCTTTTAATAATTTTTATCATTATACAAATTAGAAAATTTCTTTGTGGATACTTTTGAATCTGTATTATCTAATGAAGTCTTTTCAGTAAAGACGAATTAGGTTATTGTAATTGTGTAATTTTAGCTATTTTTTTCATGAAAACATTAAATAATGTTGTTTAAATGTCTATTATGTACATTAAGAAAAATACAGAACTTATTGTTACATGCTTGTGAATTGCATTCAGTCATTTAATTCAAATCAATAACAATAAAGCTTTATTTTGTGATGATCAAGAAATAAGATGATGGTTCATTGATATGGGCATTTCAATGTAGTGTTTTAATTTTTCAATTTAAACCATAAAATATGAAATAAAAATTCAGATAAATTATGATGAACAATTAATAAAATAAAAAAGTAACTACTACTTTAGGTAGCTAAATTCTTTATTCCAGAAGAAATGTTTTAGTCTGTCTTAGTCCAGCTTCAGCTTAAATGTGGTTTGCTAGTCAATAATTGCTATCTAATCAAAAATAATTTAACTGCTAGCAATCAGAAACCAAATTTAAATTATTTTCCAAACTGTTAATTATTATTTATTTGATTAAATATTAGATAGTTATTTCATATTCATATAATGATGACTGATCAGAAATCAAGAAATACTATTTCCTTACTGAGCAGAGAGAGAATTTATATATTTGGATAAAGCTGATTCATAAAAAAATATATATATTTAAAACTATAAGCTTAATGTAATTGTCAAGTAAACAAATTTAACATATAACTTTAGTGTGAATTATTTCAATGTTTTTGAAACAAGTTTCAAAACATGACATCGCCTTCTTGATAAAAAGCACTGAGTTCAGCGTTAATACGATTTTTCTTGTATCGCAAGTACTTTCGACGAGTATTATACCGAACGCTATAATTTAGAAATTGACAAGAAAAATTTTCCGTTTTCTACTTGGAACATTCTGCACGTTCTAATTCAAATTTTGTTCTTTTTCGCCTGAAGACGACGATATAATACTCGTCGAAAGTACTTGCGATACAAGAAAAATCGTATTAACGCTGAACTCAGTGCTTTTTATCAAGAAGGCTATACAATTTTGGCGTGAGTTTTATTTATTTATCTATTTCTAAAACATGACATCATGTTCTGCATATGTTTGTTCATCATTTCTTATTTTGCAATGAACATGTATAATTAAAGTTTTGAGAATACTGTTTAATATATCATTTTTGATATTTTAAGATATTTCTAATTTTAATTTTATAATTTAGTTTTCAAATAGAATTATAGTATAAATTTAGAGAAAATTGGATAAAAGAAATTAGACATTATTCTGAATGCACACAAAATAATGATAAAATAGATTGTGTCAGATAGAAATCTTCCTTTTCCATTTATAAACAAACTTAAGCATTTAATTGTTTAAAAGAAAGAGAGGCAATTTGCTTCTTAAAACTTTTTAATTTTCAAAGAATGTCGTCAACTTTTCTTGAGCATCAGCTTAATATTACAAGAAATGCTTCTAGGATAGTTTTTTGAACATCTGTATTTTCAGAATCAAATGAACACAATTAGAAAAAGAATTTTTTAAATTGTTCAAAATTATACTTATTATAGAATTTTACAAAATACTGAGACTAATAAAACTTATCAAAAATTGAATTGTGTATTTCTAATAATTTAGCTAGTTTGTTGAATCAATTTATTAACTGCATTACTAAAATAACATAAGATCAGTAGCAAAAGACAACTTTAAAAGCAAAAACTAGCCACTTTGTTAATGATATGAGCATGTATACTGAGAAAAATCAGCTATAATACAAGACTGCAGAACAAGGATTTTAGAGCAAATTTACATACTGTATATAGGATTGCTGAAATCATAAAGTTTATAAATTCCAATGATGAAAAAGAGTTGCATGATTGTTGGAAGCTGGTTTTAGGCAAAATGGATTTTAGTAAAGTAGTAAGTTCGTTCAGGAAACTAGCTAGATTATTAGAAATGCACATTTTAATATTTGCTAAATACAATAAAACATACACTCAGAAGAGAGATAAAACAATCTTACTACACATATAATGTTTGCTGAGAAAAATTGTTTATTAAATGCTTTTGCAAACATTTTCAATGTAATTTTATGGACCATCTTCAGGCTTGGAATTCAAAATATAAAATGTTATGAAAATAGAACATTTGAAGCCCTGATCCTGCTCCATCATATTTTCACTTCTGGTTGTTGGCACACTTTCTGTAAGGACATTCCTTCAAAACACTGCATTAGGTCAAAAATGGGGTTCATGAGTTTAACATTGAAACTAGCTAAGTGGTATTGCTGAGGAATCCACAAACTTGCAGAAAGTTGGTTCAAGACTATGGCTAACAATCCTCTTTATTTTGAGAAATGATTCTGTCTTTGTGTTTTAGTATCAATAAAATTTTATATCTTGTCTGTGTCTGGAAACTTTTGAATCAACCTGGTAAATATAAATAACTAGGACATCACATGATTTTGTCATATCACAATAGAATTGAGATGGAACTGGAAAGAAAGAAGTGATCCCTGCCCCTGTTAGTCATAGAAGAGTCAATCCATGTACCTGATGGGTGCGATCAGGTAAACTTTGCACTTGCCACCACAAGAGAGGCTACCTTGTACTATACTTGTTAGTCATGGGAGAGACAATCCTTGCACTTGCCGACATGGGAGGCAATCCAAGAACAAAACAATCACCACTAATTGCTTTGTTTTTGTGTTTTATTCATTTTTTGTGCTTATTTTCTGTTAGGCACACACAAATGTTTTTATTTTTGACCCTTAGACTTAAATTCCATTAGGCACACTCAATCTCATCAGAGAGCAAGGACATCACTTTAATACCTCTGCATATTGAAAACAAACTCGTGGACTTCTATTTTTTACATTTAAATGGACCCTCATTACATTTTTGGATTTTTTATCACAATTAATAAAAAATCGCAAAGTTTTATCAAAATTGGTTCATTAAATTTTGAGAACAAATTAAATTCTATAAGCACATTGAAGATGTGATAGCAATTGTGGAACATTGCTTTTTTGTGCACTTTTATGCTATGAGTTTATATTTTGAAATCGAAGTCATGAACCCCCTTTTTTATTACATGTTTGGATTTCTCATTACAATTAATGGAAAATGGCAAAGTTTAATCAAAATCAATCTAAGAAGTTTTGAGAATGAACACAATTCTGTAAGCCATATAGAAGAGGCTTTGCTAATGCTCTGCCTCAATAATGTAAATAATTTTAACATGCTGTATTTGATATAGTATGTGTTATAATTAAATATCTAATTAATTAAAAATAAAATAAAATATAAAGTTGTGTTAAAAAGTGTAATATGTACTAATTTTACAATTTTTTTATTTTTAAATAATATATGATTTATTTAAGTTTTTGACAAGCATTTTAATGATAAAAGCTTTTTTACAAAGTAGTTGTGATAGTGGAATTTCCACTAAATGCAGGTAAAACCGGTTCCATACATGCCAATTTAATTTCTGAAATAATTTCTTTTTCATCTTCATCTTTGTCATCATTATGTAATTGTGAACATTATTCTAGAAATCTTATAAAAAACAAAATTTTTACTATTCTATTTAATATTTAGTATTGCATATTTTACTAACATTAATTTGTTATAATTAAACATAACTCAAAATTATATAAAATTTGTTTTTAACCTAATAAAAATAGTTAAAGAAATGAACAGAACTGGAAAATTAAGTAGAGTTTGGATTAGTGAAAATACATATATAAATTAAGAATTATTAATTTTAATTTAAACTGGTTCTGATATATGGCATACTGTAAGTACAAATCAATAAAATTTTTAGCTTGGTAACACACTATTTAT